GAAGAGCGTAGTCAATGTCACTGAACTGTGCATGTGGAAATTTTTGAAATGGTGTATCTTTGGCTATGTATATTTTCACCAAAAAAAAAAGGTTGAGAAGGGAGAGGGTTGACATGTTGTGGGGTTGTTAACCAGTGTCAGAAAACAGTATGTGTACTACTGTTTCATGAGAAACTGTTTGTTCTGTAAACCTTCACCTGAAGTACAATTGAAAAAAAAACAAAACAAAAAACCGTAAACCAAAAATATCCCCTGAAGTCTTCTTAAAACCAAGCAATAGTTTAGCTTAACTGGTAAAGAATGTCTTCCTTGCGTGTTTTGCTCTTTTAAGATCTATCTATATGGGATCAAATTGATAACAGGAACTCAAGAAATTAGACAAGAAACTTAAGGGCATTGAGTTTATGTTAATGGGGGAGGAACAACTCAGAAAAGGGGGGTCAGAATGGTTGCCCAACTTGAAGAATGTAATCAATGTCACTAAATTGTACATGTAGGTATTGTTGAATTGGTGTATGTTCTGCTGTGCATATTCTCAACAACTACAAAAATAGAATAAATTATATATATATTTTATTGTGCTTTAGGTGAAAATTTATAGAGCAAATTAGTTTCTTATTCAACAATTTATACACACATTGTTTTGAGACATTGGTGTCAACACTCTCCCCTTCTCCACCCCAGGTTCCCTGTTTCCATTCCGACCATTTTCCTGTCCATTCCTGCCTTCTTGTCTTTGCTTTTGGGTCGGTGTTGTCAATTTGGTCTCATTTACATGATTGAGCTAAGAAGCACGTTCCTCATATGTGCTATTATTTTATAGAACGGTGTCATCTTTAGCTGCAGGGTGAACTTCGGGAGAATAAATTATATATTTTTTAAAAAAGAAAGGGATACTCACTTTACTCAACCAAAGACACCAAGTCTCAGGTAACAGAAGGCTAGAAGACTCAGAAAAGAGATTAACTATGTCTAAAACCAATAAAAGATTCATATCTAGAATACACAAGGAACTCCTGCAAGTCAGCAAGAAAAGATAGATCACCCAGTTGAAAAATGGGCAAAGGATATGAATAATCAACTCATAGAAGAGGAAGCCTGAATGACTTACAAGTATGTACAACAGATGCTACACTTCCCCAAGGATCAAAGAAATGCAACTTGTATCAGCAGGGAGCTACCACTTTTGATCAGTTAGATTGGCAAATATTCAAAGCATAATATCAAGTGTTGAAAGTATGAGAGGAAACAGCTGAAAGTGTAGACTGGTGCTGGATTTTTTCGAAAGCACTCTGACATACCTTATGAATGAAGTATGTTTATCCTGTGCCCCAACAATTTCACATCGGGGTATACATAAAAACAAACAAACAAACAAACAACAAAATATGCAGGAACATATATGTGGATGTTCATTGCAACACTGTTTATAATAACAGAGATTTGGAATTAACCTAGGCATCCCTCACTAGGGGAAGAGATAAGTAAATGTGATGATGGCTCCCTATGGAAATCTCTGTGGCACATAGAAGAACATAAAGCAACCTGGAGAGATCTGAAAAACACAGTATCGAGCAAAGAAAAAAAAAATGATGTTGAGACAATCTTTAAACCTTAAACCAAAACTATTCCCCGAAGACTTCTTTAAACCAAAAAATATTTTAGCTTAATTAGTAAAGAATGTCTGCCTTGAGCATCATCATCTTTTAAAGAATTATCTATATGGGATCAAACTGAAAACAGCAACTCAAAAGATAGGAAACTTAGGGGACAGTGAGTGTATGTTAATAGTGGAGAAATAATTTGGAAAATGATAGTGAGAAAGGTTGCACAACTTGAAGAATGTAATCAATGTCACTGAATTGTACATGTAAAAATTGTTGACTTGCTGTATGTTTTGCTGTGTATATTTTCACCGAAATAAAATATTTTAAAAAACTGAAAAACAGGACAAAACCTATAGCACAATTTTATAGATTGAATTGTGCTCCCCCAAATAAGTGTTGGAATCCTAACCCTGTACATGTGGATATAATCCCGTTTGGGAATAGGGTTTTCTTTGTTAGGTTAATGAGGACATATCACTATTGTTGTTGTGTGCCATTGAGTTGATTCCAGCTTATAGCGATACCACGTGACAGGGTAGAACTGCCCCCTGGGGTTTTCTTGGCTATAATTTTTATGGAAGCAGGTCACCAGGTCCTTCTCCCTCAGAGCAGCTAGGTTGGTTTGAACTGCCAACTTTTCGATTAGCAGCCGAGCACTTAACCATTGCGCCAGTAGGGCTCCTATATCAGTGTAGGGCGTGTCTTAAACTTAATGACTTTTGAGATGTAAAAAGAGCAGATTAGACACAGAAGCAAGCAAGGACAAATTGGAAGATAGATGCCATGTGGTGATTGCCAAGGAACTGAGGAAAAGAAGCTG